GCGCATGCGTGTCACATCAGTGCTGTGTAGTGTTCACACAGGAGTCTGATGCAGGTCACATTTAAAATGTAATGTGAACGTTCACATTTAAAATGTAATGTGAATGTTCACATTTAAAATGTAATGTGAACGTTCACATTTAAAATGTAATGTGAACGTTCACACAAAAAGATTGGATTTTTTCCAAAAAATCGGAACTGAGCATTAAGACCTGCAGTGTGAACGTAGCCATAGAGAAGTGATTCTTGCTGGAGGCGTGGCCTCTGTTGAAGTTTAAAATGATTGGACCAGTTGGCCATGATGTGTGTGTGTGCCAGCTCCACTGTGAAGGAGGCTAAGCTAAGAAGCTAACCGGAAATTGCGTGCGCTGTAAACAACCCTACTGAGAGTGAGCCGAAAGAGACGACTGAAAATGAGAGCTGCTGCTCTGTCAGACAAATTTGATTTAATTTGGAAGCCTTGTCAACACAGACTGGCTTCATTCACTTCCTCCATTGCTATTATTGAACTACTAGCAGACACTGCKCAGAAAATCAATGTTATTCAAAACCCCGCCTTCTGTTTGCTGATTGGCCCAGACGAAATGCTCCTGAAGAAATCCTTGTCAATGGGAGAAGTCCCAGATGGAGCAGTGAAGGGAAACTAGAACTGAGCGGAACTGAGTAGGAAGGAAAGGGCCAGGCTAATAACCAGCTCTTTCAGAGTCAAATCTTTCTCCTGGACTTTTCAGTTTTTCAGTTTCCAAACTTTATTCATTTCTTAAAAAGCTACATTTAATTACATGTACAATAAACAAAGAAAACACAAATACAATGAAATGAAAGGCGGCAAAGAGAAGAAAAAAAATCTTATATCTGCCCCTTTTTCCTCAAGTATAAATTCAAACAATAATAATCTTCAGTTAACAAAACAAGAACAAAAACATGAAATCTTTTTAGAACAACAAATTATAGGAATACACATTATGTTGTTTCATATTTTATAACAATCTAGCCTTTATCCTTCTCATGAACATGTACATTGATGTGGCACTTTTAACATCATTTTCCAGATTATTCCACAATCTGACTCCTTGGATTGAGCTGCAGCGTTCTTTCAAACAGGTTCTAAATTTATGTTTCATGAACATCTCTGTTCTCTTTAGGTTCTAACAGCTCTCTGTCTTTGCAAAGTTTATCTGGATGTTTAAATGTGATGTGTTTTAGAGTGCCTTATACATAACTAACAAAACGTTGTATCATCCATCCATCCATCCATCCATCCATTTTCTGTACACGCTTCTTCCTTTTCAGGGTCGCGTGTATCAACCAAATCATAAAACTTCAATAATTTCAGTTTACAGAATAATATATTAGATGGATAACGATAATGTTTTCGATTGATAACTCTTATAGCTCTTTTCTGCAAAACAAAAACAGGATGTGTGATATTCTTACATGTTTTACCTCATACCTCAACACAATAAACCAAGTGTGGAACAATTAATGTGTTATATAACATACAGAGCTTTATCATTAAACAAGTCCCTTACTTTGTAAAGCAATGGATTTAATTCTTAAATAATTTATGAGGTTTCCATATCAGTTTCTCATCAATACACTTTCACTGACACATCTTCATTAATAAGGCAGAGTTGGACCACGAGTCTCAGTTGAAATGCTGATCATTTGGTAAAATCAAATTCTGTGCAACCACTAAGATAAACTGTTGAGAAAATTTTAATCCTTTTTGTAACAGTTTTACCTGTGTGTCCTCGCAGGGCTCTGTGTGCTCTACAGAATTATCCTCCTGCTAAAMTCTGCTCAGCAAACTTCTTTTGTGAGTCCTCTCCATGGGCACGTTGTAAATGACAAATCCAAAGAGCTGACTGCTCAGCCTGCCATCTGCACGCTTTCTGACACACTGTCCAGAACATGAGTCACCCAACAGGAACCGCCCCGTCACACAGAATCCTGACCACCACCTTCTCAGAACTAAGGAAAAGAACAAAAAGTAATAAGTACCATTCCTTTAAAATACAAAGATTATCGTCAAGTCACCTGTGAACAGGAAACTCATTCTCCCCCTCCCCACACAATAAAATCTTGTACCCTGTTCATGTGCATCTTTTCAGTTTTGGTACTCAGAACCTTTCACAAAATCATAAAACTCAAAAATAACACACAGATATTCTCAGACACATTGGGCCTCATGCAAGAACCGTTCGCAAACACAGATTTGTTCTTAAGTTGTGCGTACGAGTGATCTAGGAGAATTTGTGGCATTCACCAATGTTTTCGTATTCTAAGATTTTTTTCAGATATAAACAAAATTCACGAGTGGTCCAGACCTGTCGTATTCTGCTGTTATCCAAAAATTTAGGATAAGAATGCGAACATGTTCTTGCATGAGGCCCAATGGTTCCATCTGGTCCAATGGCTTTCCCCTACAGAATATTTGGAAACAGGCTGTTTATTTTGAACCGTTTTTTTGTATTTTGTGTCTGTAAAGCTGTTGCACATGTCTGTAAATAACATCTTATAAATGAATTTTTGCCATTTTGCATCTTTTTATTTTCAAAATAACTTCTCAGTTTTGTTTTGAAAGMAGCTTTGCAAGAACCAGAATAAGAACCCTCAACAGAACTGTAAGAAGAAATAAAAACATTGATAAATCACTAAAGCTACAATATTTTTCCTTTAATGACACAAATACCATCACCGTTATTAAAAAGATCTCAGCATTGATTCTGCATTAATTCAAGAATACAACACATGATAATCGTGAATTTTATACTAAAATAGTTTTTAACCATGGTGCAACAAATACTGTTGTAGATTTATGTAGGCTTATGTGCAAATCACTGGTATGGCAACATTTCTTACTCTGTTTTACCTTTACAGAGCAGGATTGATGAGGCACAAAATAAAATTTCTCTACATCGTTTGACTCGTTAATGACAGACAGTAATGTAATGATTGAGCTGCACGGTGCACATCATAATATTTTTATATTATGATGTGCACCGTGCAGCTCAATGTTGCCCTTGTCAAGTTGACAGACAGGACAGTTATTCAGTTATTTTACACCCAATATATGGGTGTATTTCAGCTTTTCAGACAAAAAGGAGAAATAAAAATTGTACTAATATTTGGTCAGTGATTGTTGGCTGTGTTGTATAGTTAAGTATCTCATGGTTATAAATATATATTTGTTTGCATWTACTGTATATTTAAATTAAACATCCTTGAATTTTTTTTTAATTCATTTGAAGCATATCCAGCTGCTCAGGCTGCGTACATTTATAAATCTGTGTGTAGAAAAACATGAAGTGCATAATGTCTATTTAGCCTATGTCACTGTTAGTTATTTAAATATTTTTTAATTCTCAATTTCCACATTCAAAATTTGAATTTCTTCAGCTTTATTTTGAACCACAGCATAAAATACATGTGTGTGTGTGTTTATATATACACACTGTATACACACACACACACACACACACACATACAAACACACACACACACAAGCATATCCAGCTGCTCAGCCTGCATACATTTATAAATCTGTATGTAGAAAAACATGAAGTGGATAATGTCTATTTAGCCCATGTCACTGTTAGTTATTTAAATATTTTTTTAATTCTCAATTTCCACATTCAAAATTTGAATTTCTTCAGCTTTATTTTGAACCACAGCATAAAGTGTGTGTGTGTGTGTGTGTGTGTGTGTGTGTGTGTGTGTGTGGCATAATAAAATTGAGCTAGAAATAAGAACTTTATAAAAGTTCTTCAGGACGACACCTCACAAGTAGCCTAAGCTAACTTGCAATCTGAACACAATTAGGAGTTAACCAGTGGAGCTAAGGCTGCTRTTTATCGATTGTTAAACATCCTCCTACCTGCAAGCATTGGGCAGCCAGGAGAAGGGGCTTCTTGACCATATTTTCTGGTGCCCCCCCCCTGAACACTTGATGACCTGAGCCAGGGGTTCTGCTCTGGGGACCCCTTACAACGGTGAACTACTTTCAGGGACTCACCTCTTGCTGATTTAAAAATAATTTACTGCATTATTAACCCCTAATTGCCATGGCAATAATGATTATTTTTTGGTTTATGTTTGTTAAAACAAATACAAGTTATTGTAATTTTTGAGGACTCCCCAGGCTACAGCTCAGGGACCCCTGGAGGTCCTGGGAATCTCTGCCCTAAGTGTAGTGTCTGTTCTGCTTGTGTGGAGGGCCTGCTCCTAATTAACCAACACATTCTCACTCCCGACACAAATTAGACATTTGTCATGTGAAAAYCTGAAGCTTTAGGGGCTGCAGCCCCCAGGTTTACAAGATCCTGAGACCGCCCCTGCAGACTGACACTGATCAATTTTTAGCTGTTTTATTGTTTTCTTCTGGTTTTGCTGATGACAGTCATTAGTTCAGGGGATTTGAACACACACACACACACACACACACACACACACACACACACACAGTGAGGAGGAGGAAGAGGAGGAGGAGGGGGGATGTGAGCAAAGCAGGAGCGCCTCAGACACGCAGAGAGCGCGCGTGGGCACAGACCCTTGGAAACGGGAGCTGGATCCGAATCAGAACCAGGCATCCTCCAGTAGTTTCCACCGAGTATGGACTCCTCAGCCTTTGACTCTGCCCCCCTCCCKGGTCCGTGGCCCCCGGTCCTGCCCTGAAGGCAGCGGAGGAACCTCACCGGCAGTCCCCGGAGCGACGCGGCCGGCCACAGGCGCAGGGAACTCGGTGTGAGAGTGTGGAGGGGCGCCGGGGAGAGATGCGGTTGATGTCGCCGCTGACCTGAACGGTCCCGGCAGATTACCCGGGTCAGAACCATGCACACCCAGCCTGATGGCACACTTCCACAGCGGCAGAACGCTGCGGGCAGGATGCGGACTCTGTGCCGGCTGTGAGCGCAGCTATGCCCGGGGAGGAGAGCAGACTGRGTCGGTGTGAAGCGGCGAGACTTTCTGCTGACCTGAAGGTGATGCGTTTATTAAAACTCAGCTTGAAATGGTTCATAATGAAGTATTTTCTTCATCTAACTATTGTTTTTTTTTAGGATTTAAAGAAGAAAAACAACTTAACCTTTAGAATAAAGTGAAATATTAAATCTTGCTGTTAGTAGTTTACCTTTTTAACAAGAAATAAATAAAAATGTTCAAGATTTTCTTTGAAATGTGAGGAATTGTGATCCAATTCTTCAAACTGGGGCGCTGCGCTGCGCAGGACGCAGGGATCCTCCTGATGCAGCTCTGATRCTGGAGACCCGCTGGTCGGAACCRCAGTCATCACAATTGGACTCAGTTTGATGGCTTATTTGCCCCCAACACCCCCCACCCAGATCATTACATAACTATTGAGCTGTCTTGGCCAGAAATCAATACAATCTGTCCACAGACTGCTCCCGTTTCATCACTTCTGTCCAGCCTCCTGTGTGAGCTCATTACCAGGATAACATCCTTCTCATGGTTCTACTGTTTTTGTTTTCCTCCTAATTTTTCTTCAGTTTTGCGGTGTTTTTGGTGCTGCTGGATGCAGTGATGAAACAACTCTCCACTTTGTTTAAATGTTCTGACCTTGTAGGCACAGCAGCACCTTTCCTCGCTGCGAGAGGCCCACATCGATCTTAGTTTTGTTCCTGTGCAAGGAATTTGTCTCATCTTATCTCTGCTGACAGGCTGCGTTCATCACCTTCCTGCAGTCCTCCTCTTCTCCTGCAACACCAAACTTAATGAGTCCTGCTCAGAAAGGAATGCAAAGTCGACTTCAGCAGAAATGCCCAGCAGGAATTTGACTTTGGAGATACGTCTCCGCTCTTATCTTGCCCATAAAGYAACCTTTGTAAATATGTCCAAACAGTAGGGATATTTGAAACTCTGTGGTCTCTAATCATCAGGGTAAAAGTCTGCACAATTTTACCTTGACTATTAATTATTATTATTTTAAATAATTTATATTTTCCATGTTTAGGGTGAAAAGAAACATTTTAAGAAACTAAAAGTGATTTCTCTTTTTTTCCCTGCAGCACATGAAGCCAAAGAGATGTTTTATTTTCTGTGGAAGCAGCCTCGGATCCATGCGTGATGACCCTCAGGTGTGCTGGTGTTTTGAGTTCTGCTCTGTGAACAGAGGGGAGGCATTAGGATGGACATTTTTCAAMCATCTCAGAAATGGAAGATGGTGGATGAAGGAATAACATCCGCGAGATCATCCTTGCATTTGGAAGCTCAGGAGAAACAATCGCTGAAGGATTACGGAGGACCATGTGCAGTTCTGGACTGGACTCAGTGGTGGCTTTAACCCCTACAGATTCTTATCCCATGCTGTTATTTTGTCAGATTTTATATTTTCTTTGAAATGGGGATACAGTGGCRTTTATGGASTAAGGACTGGACCTCTTTGGTGAAAGTATGGATTCCTTTACTGCTAGGTCTTCATCTTCAGCYGTCACAAGCATCCAGCTGTCCCAAAGAGTGCCGCTGTGATCGGACGTTTGTTTACTGCAACGAGCGGAGCCTGACCTCAGTGCCTCTGGGGATCGGTGAGGGYTACAAGACCCTCTACCTCCACAACAATCAGATCAACAACGCCGGCTTTCCCCTGGAGCTCCACCACGTGGCCTCTGTGGAAACTGTGTATCTGTATGGAAACGAGCTAGAAGAGTTTCCTGTGAACTTGCCCAAAAATGTCCGAGTTCTMCATCTGCAGGAGAACAACATTCAGACCATCTCCAGGGCGGCTCTGGCTCAGCTTCTTTGGCTGGAGGAGCTGCATTTGGACGATAACTCCATCTCTACCGTTGGGGTGGAGGAGGGGGCTTTCCGTGAAGCYGTGAGCCTAAAGATGCTCTTCCTCACCAAAAACCACCTGAGCAGTGTGCCCATCGGACTCCCCGATGATCTAAAAGAGTTGAGATTGGATGAGAACCGGATCGCGATCATCGCAGAGGAGGCGTTTGAGAACGTCACCCGGCTGGAGCGCCTGCTGTTGGACGGAAACCTGCTGACGGACGAAGGGATCTCACCCGGAACCTTTCAGGACTTGGTCACTCTGAGGGAGCTGTCCCTGGCCCGTAACTCATTGACCTACCCTCCACCGTTCCTCCCCGGGGAGGTGCTCGTCAAGTTAAGCTTTCAGGAAAATCAAATGAACCAGATCCCCGTGCGAGCGTTCGCAGGTTTGCACAAGCTGGAGAGGCTGGATCTGTCCACCAACCAGCTGCAGCTGCTGCCGCGGGGCGTCTTCGACGGCCTCGTGAGTCTCAGGCAGCTCACGGTCCGGAACAACCCCTGGCTCTGCGACTGCGGCGTCAAATGGGTGGTGTCGTGGCTCAAATCCCTGCCTGCCTCGCTGAACGTGCGTGGGTTCATGTGCCATAAACCTGAGAAGTTCCGGGGCATGGTGATCAGGGAGCTGAGCGCCGACCTGCTCCAGTGCTCAGAGCCCACTTCTCGGACCGATGCCGCTTTGGATCCGTCTCTTTTGGCCTCCACGGACTCCCCTCTGGTCACTCGACATGTTTCATCCTCCTCCTCCTCCTCCAGAAGACCCATCCCCACACTCCCCACCCTCTACCCCATCTACACAACACGGGAGGAGGGGATGAGGACTAAACAACCTCTGCAGGTCACTTTCACCATTTTAAACGGGTCAGCTATTCATGTGCGCTGGGTGGCTTTGTTTCCAGTCACTGCTTACAAGGTGACCTGGGCCAGGATGGGCCCCAGTCTGACCGGGGACACAGTCAGAGAAAGGATAGTGGGTGGGGATCATCGGGGGATCCGACTGGCTAATCTTGAACCAAAGTCCACSTATCGGATCTGCGTCATTCCCTTGGATGCTTTCAACAACTACAGGCCCAAAGACGACTCAGTGTGTACGGAGGCCGTGACCACCGCCGCCTTTTTCAGCCCCGACAATGACAACAGGAGGCGATCAGGACCCGAGCAGACCACGCAGAGAGAGTCCAACTCACCGTTCCTGCTGGCCGGGCTGATCGGAGGGGCTGTGATCGTGGTGCTGSTGGTCCTGCTCAGCGTCTTCTGTTGGCACGTGCACAGGAAGAGCCGCTCGGAGTGGAAATACAACCGGGGGCGCAGGAAAGACGACTACTGCGAGGCGGGCACCAAGAAGGACAACTCRCTCCTGGAAATGACTGAAACAGGCTTCCAGATAGTTTCGCTCAACAACGAGCAGCTCCTCAAGGGGGATTTTCACATTCAGCCTATTTACACCCCTAATGGGGGCATCGGCTTCAGAGACCGCCCCGCAGGGAACAACAGCACAGTTTACTGCAAGAACAACGTTCAGGACGCAGATTTTTGCCATTCATGATGGTTTAGAGACCRTCAGGAGGATTTCTACTGAAGCTGCCCTCACTTTCCTGAACTCTGTACAGTCTTAATAATGTTCTTTATACAGCTGCAAGGACCAACTCTTTTATAGAACCATGTTGGATTTATAAGTTGTTGCTTTTCGGAGTTGTGCCGTTTCAGTTTYGTGCACAAACACTCATAAAAATTAACAGCGGCTTGTTTTACTGTAACGGTGAAATGTTATTTTGTGCAGTTGCGACCATAACAGATCCATAATCCTCACTGGAGCTTCTGAAGGAAACCTGAGAGGCAGAAATGAGTGTRATTCTCACCACCGTGGGGCATAGTTTATTTTTTATTTTTCCCTGTTTGTGCAGTCCTCTCTGCACACACGCTGCAGATCCCTGCCAAAATGTTGGATCATATGCAAACTGTTTTTTTTTCTGGTTTTAGAGGAAAATTTAAAGGTCACACTCATTAAACACTCAAAGTGTCAGGCCTCAGAGCTTCCACCTGCATCTCCACTTTAATACATCATCACAGCAAAAGGGACCATCATTATTTTTAGCAGACGGTGGGTGACACACAGCGAGCTGTAAAAAAAATAAGCACAACCTCTGTATTTTTAACCCCCTTAKGAACCATTTACTTTTATTTTTAGCAACAATATGTTTCAGCAAAACAGTATATAAATGTGCCTTGAAGTTATCAGCTTATTCTGTCTTTTAAATCCATGTTTTTGCACAAAATGTATTCCTGTATGTACATTTTAYTGGACTGTTGTTGAGAAAACACTTTGCTATTGTTTTATTTATTCATCTCCTTACACATTTAATTAAAACATGTCTTAGAAATGTGAATTTATTCCTCAGTCTGCTTTAAGAGGCCGATAACCTTTAGAACACCTTTTGCTGTATGTGGGACAGCCRTGGGTCCAGGATCCCTCCCCCGAGAATAAAAGAAACACCCAGAGAGATTTCACAGAGCTTGTTACATTAAAACCAGTGGTGGACAAAGTACTCAACTCTARTACTTGAGTARAAGTACTGATACTCATGGTCAAATCTTWCTCAACTACAAGTAAAAGTTACTTGGTCAAAAATCTACTCAAGTTAAAGTACTGAAGTGCATACTTTTGAAAGTATTTAAGTATTCAAAAGTACAAATTAAAATGTCTAATGTCAGTACATTGCTGTATTATTTTACAGAACCTGGTAACTCTCAGAAACTACCTGATGTTTTGACACGTAGAACCACTTGGCTACAAATTCACCAGCTGTAAAGACTTCAGCATAAAAATACAATAAAGTGAAGTGGTGAGTTCTTAAATGGAAAAATGTGGTTTATCTGTGGTGAACAAAGAAGACATTTAAACTGATACAAACTATKTTTCAGTCCTAAAAGCTGAGATATGGTCATGGGTGCTGGTTTCTCCGCTTGAGTTTCTTAAMCCAGTGGTTCCCAAACTTTTTATCTTCTGACCCACAAAATATCCATGGCAAAAACTTGTGACCCCAAATATTACTGGTCTAAGTACACAAACTCTGTTAGTAACCCTAAAAACACAGGCTTTTTGACAATCTAAACAGCTTGTACACAAATATAAATACTTATTTATACTTATTTTGTGTTTTTGTAATAATTATAGGGAAAATATTACATCACTTATTTTATCACCCTTTAAATTGATTTCTGGAGATTATCCAAGGTGCATCATGACCCATAATTGGGTCCCAAGCCCAACTTGGGGAACCAAAGGGCAGTGGTTCCCAAACTTTTCAGCTTTTGACCCACAAAATAACAGTAGCAGAGACCTGTGCCCCCAGATATTTTTAGATGATAAACATTTGTATCAGGTCAACTAAACATGGGCGTAGTAACAATATWTTTTATACTACATTTATCCATTTTAAATACACTAACCTCACTCCTTTGTAACAACTAAGGCAAAAATGTAATTAATTCAGAAAATCTTTTCAGGACCCCACCTTGATGTTTCGGGACCCCACTTTGGGTCCCGACCCCAACTTTGGGAAGGACTGTCTTAATACTGTCTCCTTCTTCTTGTTGTTGTGGTGTTTAATGGCGGTTGGCAATAAACTGAAGGTGTGCGTTACCGCCACCTATTGGTATGGAGTGTGGTTCAAGATGATTTCACTAATATTTATATCCTACTAAAATTATTGTATTTCTTTTTACATTTTCAAATCTATCTATTCAAATGAAATATAATAAATAAATAAATAAATAAATAAATAAATAAATAAATAAATAAATAAATAAATAAATAAATAATACAAAAAATACTACTATCAACTCAAATTCTGTTAAACTTTTTTTGTCTTTTTCAAAAATCCTATCATGATTTGTAAATGTTTGCTCCCCTTAAACTGTCTCCATTACTGGGTTCTGTTTTAAATGAAGGTGGGAGCTCAGGCTCAGGCTTGCAACAGTTAATGAAGATGATGTCATTTCAAATCTGTCCCAGGTGTGAGCTATGACTGTGATTGGTTCCCTTTGTGAGGACCATAGCGTGGCATTTCAAGAAAGAAAAACAGCAACAGTTGATTACAAAACYATGCAAAACCAAAAGTAACAAGTARCTAAAAACTTAGTAAAATGTAAAAAGTACAATGTTTGTCTTTGAAATGTAGTGGAGTGAAAGTCATAAGTACTCCCCAAAATAATTACTCAAGTAAAGTAAAGATACTCAAAAAATGTACTTAAGTACAGTACTCACGTRAATGTACTCCGTTACTGTCCACCACTGATTAAAACCTACATGTCTGATAAAAGACTCGGTGTACAGAATGTGGAACGAGTCTTTGTGTTCARGTGAGTCCATCCTGAAGGTCAAACCTTCAGGAGGTACAAAGAGCCTGTACCAGTTCTTAGGTGCCTGTTTAGGTGCTGGACAGCTCYTGGGTCAAGCAGGCTGTGATAAAGGTGTGGTTTTGCATCAACAAGGRAACACTRCGRAACACAAAACAGGCAGCAGCTCCCTGCCGCCTGGAGAGGAGAAGTGGGTAAAATGAATGGATGGAGCCACACATCAGATCGGTTTACTTTGTYATGAACACTTTTAAAGAAGAAACACGTCGTGGAAGAAAATGGCTACAGTTAGTGCAGATGTGGARGTCTGTTTGGCCGATCAATACATGTTTATGGGTGAACCAATCACATCTTTTTATGTCACTACAGAGTCCCTGCTGAGCCAGCGAAGTACCTAATTTAAAACAGGAAGTAAAACAAGACCAGATAAATGGAGGTTGAAGGAAGTAGTCCCAAGTGGTCTGAAAACACTTAGTGACCAGGTTTTATTCACAACTTACTTAAGATTAAAGATGTGATGGAGCCGTTTCTTATTTTTTATTTTTTACAATTATTGTCACAAAACCTCTCTGTAGGTTAAACATTTTTATTTAGATCTTGAAAATGGTTTCTGTAAACTGAGTTCTTGGAACTTTGCTGACTCAGAAATGTTTGTAGTGTTTTTAGTTTTGGCACATGTTTAGATAATGTGCTGCTTCGACGAGTGTCTTCAGGAAAAATGAGGTTTTAGAACAAAACATGATGCAAAGTGGAGGTTTTTGTGAACTCTGGGTTCATAACATGAAATCTCACAAAAAAAATCTCCTTAAACAAATTTTTTGTTGTTTTTATTCTGGTTTTGGTTTGACTTTTTTGGTGCCACTTTTTGACTTGAAGCTCTTTGGTGCAGAGAGGAGGAGCTACAACATCTCAGTTTTACACATTTCAGTCATCATAGTGTGACATCATCACCTGTCAGGTGAACATTTCTTGAAAAATCTTCTCAAATCATAAAACTTGAACTGCATTTGTAGACAAAAGAAACATCACAGATCTCAGAACTCCTGTTTCTAAGAAGAATATGAAGATAGAGTTCCATATATCACTAAAACATCAGCCTGTTTTGTGAAAACCACTRTTTAAGTTCTTACATTGTGACCTACAGTTAATAACAATCTGTTTAGTGAATGATCAAGTCACAAATTTTGATGCATTATTCTGTTTTTTAAAGCTGTGAGGTATAAAAATAAAAAACTCAGGACAGGAAGCTAACAGAAGAGCAGCAGGTGCTTCAGTGGTTTTGGATTTGCACTCTGTAAAACCCACCAGGTGCAGCTGGTGAAATAACACTTCTCTCCTCCAAAGCGGCTGATTCAGTCGCTGCGTTTGATTTTTTTTTCTGTGGTTTTAAACCAACTGAAGTATCTTTTCCTCTTCACTTTGCAGTGGACAGATTAAAGTGCTGCAATTCCCGGGGAGGTTTGTTTTTCATTCCTCCCGGTCATTACTGTGGTCAGCTCGCATTAAATTGCATTAGAGAGCCACTAACGGCCTCCACCCACTCTTCAAACACACACACAGGTATTGATCTGTGGAACTCCAGTGGATTATGAAAAATGGGCACCACACTTAATGACACTTCACCTGAGATAGACTGCCCCGCTCCGCRGCTCTGCAGCGAGGTGGAAATGCGTGCATGGGGAAATCAGCGGTAAAATGTCGTCCCAGCTCGTCTCTGGATCGTCCAGCATTGATTGAGCGTTGGGGCAGAGATATGGAGGAATAATTTATGCAGGAAATGATTAATGGATCGATGAGCTGGGGGTCATTCGGTGGTGTTACAGTTGCACACGGGGGGCAGTCGTTTTATCAAAGCAGGAGAAAATGTTTGCCTCGCTCGTGGAAAATCCTTCATTCGCACTGCAGCAGCATTATTCATTTATTACGTGTTTCAGTGGCAACAAGACAATAAAAAACGATGCGGCAAATTCAATAAATCTGCATGCATCACATTAGATGTTATTTAAAACCCGAGTGTAGTCTTATAAAAAAATCTGCTYTGACTCACCTCTGTTTTACAAGCGGAGACGTAAAAATCTGGGTTATTATCTCAGAATAATTTGTCATTTTTTATCTGTTTCTATTTCCTCGTTTAGTCCACCTCCTCCTGGCCATTACCAGGAAATGTGTCCTGTCTTGTCTTCAGTGAGTATTGGCTTACTTTCAGAAAAAAAGCACTTTACAGTTCCCCGTTAAAGCTTAATTTCACTGGTTTGTTGTTGCCTCGTTAACTGCCTGTTTTTATYGTTGCTGTTGCTCAATAACAGGAGAAGATTAAAATAACAAATTAGAAATTGCCCAAATCAAATATTTTATGACTTTTTTTCTCCTGGCGTTACCAAACAAAACAAGAATTATTCAAAAATTAAAGGAATAGTGTTGATTTTTTAAAGGTTTTAATGATTAAAAGCTTTTAAAACCATCTTTCTCCTCTTTTAGGACTAAAACCAAACCCCTCACAGGAGCTGTTTCTGTTGATTTTAAATCTAAATAGTGTTTTTTTTCTCTGAGCTCTGCTGAGTCCAGCTCACTCCTTTTATGAGCTCAGGCTCTTCTGTGTGTTTGCATGCAGAGACGATGTTATTTAGAGGACATCTGCTGCCTGAGCGGCTCAAAAAGTGCTTTCATAAAAGCTGCATATTGAACATGTTGTCTGCATTACTCACCTTGTTGTTACAGAACAACCTCTGTGACGGCGGACAAAGGCGTCCTGATAAAAGATTCTGTGAAATGCGCTGGGTTTGCATCAGCAACGTGGAACAGAATCAATTTGGCGACGCTTCATGGGCGTTCGCTGGAATTTTAAATGTGGAACAATTGTCTGCTGGGTCACACGGATGCAAACGCTGAAAAACAAAAGGTCTCTGAAGCTTCTTTATGTGCTGTGTGCTGATTCATCCAAGCGGCACGTTGTGGAATAAAAGCCCAGATTGAGACACGCTGCAGAGAACATCTGACACTAAACTGTAACAAGGCTTTATGAAGGAGA